GGGAGCCCCCATTATTTTGTCAAGCTTCTGTGCAAATTATTGCTTTAGTCATTTAATTTTTGTCACTTATATTTAATTATAAAGTATTTCTGGCAAATAAAAAGTAGGGATAATATAAGGAGACTCTTGTACCCATAACCTAGTTTGAGATAAAACATTATAGATACATTTGGAGTGCCCCCCACACCCTGTATACCTCAATCCAGTCCCATGTCTCTCTCACTCTTCCTAGAAATAACCACTATCCTGAATTTGTTGTTCATTATTCCCATGCATGGTTTTACATTTTTATCTATAAACCTGTTTTTTAAACTTTACATGATACATGTTATCAGAATGTAAATTTCCTTTGCTACGTTTATTGTGGTATGGCATCTCACTGGGTGAACCTCTGACGTTTGTTATCTTGTTCAGTCTTCTCTGCTTCCCTTGGCCACTACATCCATGCCTCAATCAGTTTGTACTTTCATACAGGTTCTTAGCATATCTTCTGATCTTTTAAAGAGACTTTGATATAAACTGGCCCTTTGACCAATGCATTTATAAATCATCTTTCAGCTTAGGACAATTTTTTCCCTTAAGATTTTATTTATTCATTTGACAGAGAGAAAGAGCACAAGCAGGGGGAGTGACAGGAGAGGAAGATGCAGACTCCTTGCTGAGCAGGGGGCCTGATATGGGGCTCGATTCCAGGACCCTGGGATCACAACCAGAGTAGAAGGCAGATGCCCAACTGACTGAGCCATCCAGGCAGCCCCTCAGTTTAGGACACTTCTGCAGATAATTTCACTATTTACTAATTATGACCAATTTATCCTGAGGATAACCCTTTCCTAACTATAGTTCCAAAGTCTTGGCACACTCAACTGTAGTTTCCTGATTTACCATAAAATCACCCTCCTAGGTATATAATCCTGTGGGCCAGGAGTTTATAATGGCAACCGTCTACATTTTGAAGACCCAAGTCTACATCATCCTTTCATCAGCCCTCAAAGATAAGTTACTTGAATGGAAGCTTCATGCCCTGTTATAGACTGAATGTTTGTGTCCCTGCTTCAAATTCATATGTTGAAGCCCTAACCCCCAATGTGACTGTAATTGGAGATAAGGCCTTTTAAGAAATAATTAAGGTTAAATGAAGTTATAGGGTAGGGCTCTGATCTGATAGGATTAGTATCTTTATGAGACACAAGAGAGCTCACCGGCCTTTTATTCACCTCTTGGGACACAGAAGGAAAGTGACCATCCGCAAGCCAGGAAGAGAGTCCTTACCAGAAACTGACCACGACAGAACCTTGATCCTGGATTTCCAGCCTCCAGAACCGTAAGAAGATAAATCTTTTGTTTTATGTCCCTAGTTTATGGACTTCTTTATAGCAGCCTGAGCAGACAAATACACATTCTAATCCCAAGAACCCATCACACAGTATACTGAAAAAGAGGAGAAGCCAAAGGGTCAAAGGCAATGGGAAGACTGGGCTCAAATCTGAGCTTGGCCACTCCAACTCTAGGGTATGACAACCTTTTAAAGCCTCCTTTTTCTTTTTCTATGAAATGAGAGACTTTAAGTAGAACCTCTTCAAGTCCCTTGAAACTTCCTAATTAAAAGGGTTAGATTACATATTGTGGGCTATGACTCAGGCAATTACACTGCCAGGATGCTATGCTTAAGAAGTAATTATGGATAGTCACAAAGATTTACTTATAAGTATGTTCATACCAGAGTTGCCATCAATAGCATAAAACAAAAACATACACTAGACCCTGTAATCTAACTATCCAACAATAAAGTATGTTAAATTACAGTAGAGCCAGATGATAGAATAAGTGAATACTTATTGTGCTTTTGTTTATAAACATCAAGGATGGGGTGCCTGGGTGGCTCTTAATCTCAGCGCAGGTCTTCATCTCAGGGTCTTGAGTTCAAGGCCTGTATTGGGCTCCATGCTCAGTGTGGAGCCTAGTCAACAAAGAAGTATCAAGGATATAGTATTGAGAAAACTTGTTTTTCAGAATTAAATATTGAGGGTGCCTGGGTGGCTCAGTCGGTTAAGTGTCTGCCTTCAGCTCGGGTCATGATCCCAGGGTCCTTAGATTGAGTAGCACATAATGCTCCCTGCTCAGCAGGGAGCCTGCTTCTCCCTCTGCTCCCCCTCGTGCTCCCCACTCAGGGCCCACACTGGTGCTCTCTTGCTATCCCAAATAAATAAATAAAATCTTTAAAATAAAATAATAGATTGGCAAAAATTTAGTTAGAAGTCTTCTCAATAAGAATAGAACATCCCACTGTTATAAGGATCTGAGCCATGCAGGTCACTTTTTATAAAGTTCTTTGAACTGCTTTATTGAGGTACAGCAACATAAACTATAATATTTAAAGTATACAATTTTATAAGTTTTCACATACATCTATAACCGTCAAACCATCACCGACTCCCTGAGGTTTCCTGGTACCCCCTTTGTCATCCTTCCCTCCCACTTCTCGCTCTCACCCCTTCCCCTGAGTAACCCTTGATTTGCTGTCACTACAGTTTGCATTTTCTGGTTTTATATAAATGGAATGATATTATATATACTTTTTTTTTTGCCTGGTATAATTACATTGAGATTCATCTGTGTTGTTGCATGTATTTATAAGTCGTTCCTTTTTATTTCTGAGTGACATTCCATTGTATGAGTCACTTTGACACTTAGAAAAAGCAGTCTTTAATTCCAACCCACGTTTCAGGTAAAAGGTTTCAGAAAAATTCCACATTTATCTTCATTTTCCGAGGAATTAGGATTCTGAATAGATGGGCTTTATCAAGTGACATGAAAGTTCATGACTACAGTAAGTGCAAAACAGTAAATAGTGTATGACCTTATTTCTGTTTTTAAAATATAAATATACGGGCAGCCCGGGTGGCTCAGCGGTTTAGTGCCACCTTCAGCCCAGGGCCTGATCCTGGAGACCCGGGATGGAGTCCCACGTCGGGCTCCCTGCGTGGAGCCTGCTTCTCTCTCTGCCTGTGTCTCTCCCTCTCTCTCTCTCTGTGTCTCTCATGAATAAATAAATAAAATCTTAAAAAAAGAATGATAATAAAATAAAATATAAATACTTGGAGGAATGACTACAAAATCATATGTGAAAAATGTATTACTAAATTTGTATTTAGTAATACATATTTGTATTACTAAATATATTTTTAAATATATTTTTACCTTTTTAAAAAAAGGTATTTTTAGGGACAGTCACAGCAAAAAAGGAAAGGTGACATTATTTTACATTAACCAATACTTGCTAGGCTGTCAAAGGAACAGGCAAGCCCTGCTACTACCATTTGTATAACAGCTTAGTTCACAGATCCACAGGTGTAAACCTAGAATGGGCAGCTGAACTTCTTAGGACAGTCATCATCTTTCCTGTCTCTGGAGACAAACTGTTTATTTTCATACATACAAATGGAATTGGAAACCTTTTAGAGTTAAAGCAGATCCCAATGTCATCTGCTAAGTTTTTGGCCTTGTAATTTACACTGTCTTTAATTATAAGTCTCTATAAAGCTCAGCAAGAGTAGTGGTTCATTTTTATTATTCATCACTTACAAAACTCCCTTCCACCCATTAATCACAACATGCATTACAGCACTGTTGCAAAGTAGGTCAAAATACTCTTTAATACATTTTTTGGCCTTGGGTGCTTATTATATCTTACCCCCTTTTTCTGTTGAGAGAGCCTGTGCAATTGACGCTTGAAGAACATGAGTTTGAAATGCCTGGGATGCCTGGGCCCACTTACACATGGATCGCTATCAGTAAGTACAGTGCTGCAAGTGCATTTTCCTTATGATCTCCTCAATCGTATTTTTTTCTGCAGCATGTAACACAGCATGCGTTAGGTGACGGCTCCTGTTCTTGGGAAGGCCTCCAGGCATCAGCAGCCTATTCCACCCGCTGTCCAGGCGGCGGTGCCCCGACCCTTGAGTTGTTGGAGGGTCATCAGTGTTCAGGCCACTCACGGCCCTTGCTTACACGCTGTTTGTTGCTCAAGCCCGGCCAACCCCGGCCAACCCCGCCTCTGTACCCCGTCGCAGGGGGCACTGGGGAGAGCGCTGGGCTGTGCAGGGTGGGCGCCAACTGACCTCCAATATAAATAAACTCACATACTGCTAAAAAAAAAATGAAAAAAAGAGGCACTTCACTTCTTCCTAAGCACCCGGAGATGGTCAACACCGGTCATAATAACAGGCTTTTGCAAACTCCTCGTGCAGAGCTGCACGAAAGCTCAACCCGACCGGCGGGGAGGCAGCGGCCCGACCCGTGAGCAGCCGCCGCCCCGGGTCCCCCGAGGCTCCGCAGCCGCAGGACGGCGCCGCCCCGGGCTTCCCAGCCTCCGGGTCCCGGCAGAGGCCGGCCAGCGACGCACCGGTGCTGCGACCCCGGGACCCCGGCACCCCGGGACCCAGGGCAGCGGCGGAGCCCGCCCCGCACCGCTCCGCAGGGAGAGCGGAGGGCGCGGCCCCGCCCCCGAGGCCGAGGCCCCGCCCCCGCCTCCGAGGCCGAGGCCCCGCCCCCGCCTCCCGCCTCCCGCCTCCCGCCACGTCTCCCCGCGCCCAGGCCCCAGCGGCCCGCGGAGACTTCCGGCGCGAAGCCCCTCCCAGGCCCCGCCCCTCTCTGCGACCCCCGCGCCCCGGACTCCGCCCCCCGCCGAAGCCCCGCCCCCGCCGAGCGCCAAGTCTCCCGCCTCCAGGCCCCAGCGGCTTCCCGCGCGAAGCCCCTCCCAGGCCCCGCCCCTCTCTGAGATCCCCGCGCCCCGGGCTCCGCCCCCCGCAGGAGCCCCGCCCCCGCCCCCCGCCGAGCGCCGCGTCTCCCGCTTCCAGGCCCCGCCCCGCTCCGCGATCCCCGCGCCCGGACTCCGCCCCCCGCAGGAGCCCCGCCCACGTGACCCGCCCGGGGCCCACGTGACCCGCGCGCCCCGCCCAGGCCGCCCACGTGACCCGCGGCCGTCCCCGCGCGCGGCGTGGATCGCGGCCCGAGCCGCCATTGTTCCGCGAGCGCCGGCAGCGGGGCCCGGCCCTGGCGCCGAGACGCCGCTTAGCGGCCGCCGCTGGAGACACGCCGTCCCGCCGCCCCGTGCCCCCGGCGGCCGAGCGAGGCGGACGCGGCGCGGCTGCGAGCCCCTGTCCCGGCGGCGGCTGCCGACCCCCGGCCCCGGCCCCGGCCCCGGCGCGAGGGGCGGCCGCGATGCGCTGGGCCTGAGGCCCCGGCCCGGCGTCCGCGCGCCCGCGAGCGGGGGAACATGGCTGCGCAGGGCTGGCAGGACGAGCTGGCGCGGCGCGCCGAGGAGGGCTCGGCCCGGCTGCGCGAGGTGCTGTCGCTCGGCCTGGGCTTCCTGCGCAGCGAGCTGGGCCTCGACCTGGGGCTGGAGCCGCGGCGGTACCCGGGCTGGGTGATCCTGGTGGGCACCGCCGCGCTCGGGCTGCTGCTGCCGCTGCTGCTCTGCTACGGCTGGGCCGCGGCGTGCGCCGGCGCCCGCAGGAAGCGGAGGAGCCCGCCCCGCCGGCGGGAGGAGGCGGCCCCGGCCCCCGCCCCGGCTCCGGGCCCCGACGACGCGGGCCTGCCGAGGAGCCTGCGCGGCGACGAGCCGAAGAAGCGGAGCCGCAAGAAAGCGCCCGACAAGCCCAAGGTGAGCCGCGGCGGGGCGGCGCGGGGCCGGCCGGCAGCGGCGTTACGGGCCGCGGGGCGGGGGGCTGCTCGGAGGCACCCGCGGCTCCCCGGGCCGACTCGCGCCCCCGCCCCCGCCCCCGGGGGGCCCGCCCTCGCGATCGCGGCCGGGCCCGGAGGGGGAGGCGGGCGCGGCGGGGATGACGGAGCAGAACGGTGCCGCCCCGGGGTCGGGCGCCGCCGGGCCGCGCCGTCCTGCCGCGCCGTCCTGCCGCGCCCGCCGTCGGCCCGGGGCGTCTCCCGCAGCGGTGCGCTCCAGACCACCGTACCGCTGAGCGGAGTCGGAGGCCGAGCACAGCTGCAAGCCGCCGCGGCCTATTTTTATGCGCGCCGCAGTGAGCTCTCTACCCCGCAGCCCGGTAAAGTAAGCGTGACCCCGGCCGTGCTGCGTGGGACGCGCTGGTGTGTGTCGGCGGTGAGAGGCACGCGCGCAGCAGGTGGAGCCAGCCCCGGAGACCTCGGGAATAACGCTCAGCGCTCGCAGTGCACGGTGCACGGTGCACGGACCGGACCGCGAGGGCTGATGAGGAGGCCTGGATCGCGGCGGACTGATTGCGCTGAAGGGATTGAGGAAAGGCTCTGGGAAAAGTGCGGTTTGAGTTCAAGCTAAAGCAGTGAGTGTGTTGTCCATGCTACGACCAAGGACCAAGACTGGAGTCGGTGCTGAAGAAGGGGCAGGTCACGGTCAGGGCACCGTGAGGCCCGCATAAGTGGTGACGCTCTGCCTGCTGATTACGAGGCTGTAAGATGCTTGCAAAAGCTAGAAGACAGTACAGCTTTACCAGCATGAATTCTACCTTGATTAGGAGAGGAAATGGAACGATGTGGAACATGATATGATTAAATTCATTGAGGTTACCGGAAAGTGACGCTATGGTCGACGAAGAGAACTTGGCTCCAAAGTAAGCAAAGAAGGTGATCTTGGAAAAACTACGTGCATTAGTAAGGCCAGACGCTGCGTGGATGGAGCAGGTTGTGAAAATTTCCAAGCCCTGTTTGGGAGGTCTAGAATTTCAGATAGACTTGAGCGGAGAGACAGGTGCTCCAGGAGCCCAGCCGGAGCGCCTCCTAGCACTCAGACTACCCTCTGCAGAAGGAACAGACGCCTGTGAAAACTTGCACTGTGAACAATACTCGTCAGACTTAGGACTCGCTGCTTCTCTTTTTCACTTTAGTTAAGGAGTGGGGCAGTGAATGAATAAAAAAATCTAAAATCGAGCTTCAGGGAATGGAGAGTGCTGAGTGAGAAAATACTCTGCCTCTCCCATGCTGCAGAGGTGTTGGAGAAGTTTGCCAACACTAACAAAATTCTAGCTTTCAGACTTTTTTGACGGCAACTGAAAGTAAGAAACACGTTTTACACTACAGTACCTGCCCTCCACCCCACATATCAGACCATTCTGTTTTTCTTTAATAATATTTGTGACCCGTCGGATTAGCTTCACATTTCATCACAAGGCGTGACCCACAGAACAGTCCTACCTATGGGACTGAGAAGCGAAAGCAACCATTTGTGTCCTGCCCAGATGCTTTGTACTGCGAGTGCTAAGTATTTACTTGGAGAAAAGCACACTGCTTGAGAACTAAAGGCAGTAAAAAGGAATACAGTATTTGTATGTCTCATTGTGAAGGGGTTACAAAAGTAAAAGCTCATTTGCTCCCCAGGGAGCTTTTTATTCCAGTTGTGGAAAAAGATAACCCTAAAAAACAAAAAGTTGACAGTGCAAACCCAGTGTGGGCCCAGGAGGCTGTGTATGACCTTATCACACAATCTGGCTTTGAGAGTGGGTGGGAGCAAGGTTGTGAAAGAGGCTCAAGTAGCAGAAAAGGAAGTAGAGGAAGACTTAATTCTGTCAGCCTGGCAGGAATGGAGAACCAGAGTTAAGTAAGGCATTTAACCTTGCTCTGGTGGTTAGCTTTATAAATTGGGGATCTTTAATTTTTTTTTTTAATTTATGATAGTCACAGAGAGAGAGAGAGGCAGAGACACAGGCAGAGGGAGAAGCAGGCTCCATGCACCGGAAGCCCGACGTGGGACTCGATCCCGGGTCTCCAGGATCGCGCGCCCTGGGCCAAAGGCAGGCGCCAAACCGCTGCGTCACCCAGGGATCCCCTATAAATTGGGGAGCTTAATTGCGTTAAAATACTGCAGAATTCCTCAAAATGTTACCTCCAACTACTTGGGATAGAGTTACTTTGAATGCTTGTTAAAACTTACAGATTCCTGAGCACCAGAATAGATCTTTAAAATTCAGAAGCTCTGGGACTGAGTCCAGGGAACCTGCATTTTGAATGAACTCCCTTGGTAAATCCTTGCTATTAGTTTAAAAATCATTCACTGGTGTTGGACCATAATATTCTTAGTATAGGAGAGCTTTCTGAGTTGAGTCATGTTTAATCTTAGACTCCATCTCCTCATTACCACATCATTCTGATACACATTTTAGGATCTACCTTACTCTGAGCCAGCTAAACTACTAGTTTTGTGAAAGGATATTACATATTCACGTAAATATTTTATTTTCATCTTTTTATCCCATTATTTTTAGTTCTCTCTTAAGTCATTCCAAATTTTGCAACTCAAGTTTTTAAAATTTGTTTCTAGTGGCTTATTTTTATCTGTAGAGTGGCTGGTATTTAGTTCTTTAAAATCTACCCATACGCACTTTTTTTTATATCATTTTGGTTTTTATCCCCTAAGAGTATCCTGGCATAGGTCTTTTAGGGTATGAATTGCAGGTTGTTTCCCTATTGAAAGTGACGGAGGTGGCACTTTTTGCTGGGCTTATTTCTTGGCATTTTTGGAAATTACTGATAGTTATTTCCAGTGACACCTAGTACAATGTGAATATTAAATGGGCACTCAGTAAGTATTTTTAACTTGACTTAATTTAGGTATATGTAAAATCTCAGATAACTGGTCTTGAACAATTGCTCTGAATTTTAGCTGGAAGCCTTTAACTCAGGATCAACTTTGACGAAAATTCATCTTAGTGAAAAATTTATTTTTATATTAGCATAAGACTTCTCATCAGAATTAGCCATAGTGCAGTTGTCGATAGCTATGAGCTGGCTGAATAGTGTTTTGTCTCGTTTGTTCTGTGTAACCTTGCATCGTAACTGGCATTCAGTAAATAATTACTGAATGCGTAAAGTAGTCAGATGTCCTACCGTTCCCATTCTTCATGCCTGGTAAGTAGCCATATGAGCCACCGTTATATTTTTACGGTGGACGGTGGCTGTCTTTGCCTCTTCTGGCTAAAATCCTGTGAAGTCCAGTCATTCTACAGCCAATAAATCATTTTGATAGTGGGTGGTGTCTTTTGTAGTTATTACTTCTATTCCAGTTTCATTGCTACTGCCCTACTTTTGGACTTTCTTGTCTTTTGTTTAGACTATACTAACAGCATCCTGACTGGTTTTCCTGCTTCTAGTCTCTTTGTTGCCATTCCTTTCTACCGACTCCTGCCAGTTAAATCTTTTAAAGCCCAGTTCTGATCATGACTTTCATGTTCATATCTTGTCAGTAGTTTCCCCATCATATGTTGAGTAAAATCCAGTCTATGATATGGCCATGATGGAACCCCATCTTAGATTTATCTCCTAACCATTATCCCAAATGCATTCTCATTAGCTAGACTACAGTATCTCTTTATTCACACTATTTTGTTCCATTAGAAAGTCTGTCTTTCTGTATTTTTCTACAAGTTCTACTTATCCTTCAAGGCCCAACTATCTCTACCATAAAGCCTTCCCTAGCTAGAGTTAGTCTCCATGTTTTGTATGTTTATTTTATGTTCTGTTACGATATCTAAAACAAGAAGACAGAACATTGTCTAGGAATGTACCTGTAGGACAATTCCACATTTTTTTTTCCCTAGCTCTGTGCATGCCCCTGAGTGATCAGGAAAGCACCTCGAGTATTGATTTTGAGATTAGAAATTAATCTTAGTAGGTGAACTTGCCAATGGGGAATCTCTGAATAATGGGCATCAACTTTGTATTTATCTATAATTGGACCATTCCTTTTATCTCCTCATATGTAGGTGTGTATACTTCTCCACTTGGAAATCTGACATTTGCCTCAAATTTTAATATCTGCAAAACAATTCACGATACAATTCCCTGCTTTCTCTCCTTGTCTTCCTCCTCATTTCTGTAAATGGTAAAAGAGTGCCACCCAGTTATTCAAGCCAGAAATCTAAGAATCATTCTTGATTCTTCCCTTTTCCTCACCTCTTTATATCTTCCCTACCTCATGTCTAATCTATGAGCAAATACCATCCATTTTATTTCCAAGATGTGTATATTCAGTCTGACAACTCTCATTCTTTTGTCTGGCACCTTAGTTCACTTATATAGCAGTAGCTTCTGCAAGGCTGCCTCCAGTCCTAAAGCCAACACTGATCTAAAATCAACACTTCAGTAGCTTTTGCATTTAAAATCTAAACTTCTTTCCTAAGTGGCTCAGCACCTGGTTTTCTAAGTTGATTTTAAGTTAATTTCCTCATTATAACCTCCAGCAATGGTGATCTTTTTTTCAGTTCTGCAGACTCTTTCACAACCCAGTGCCTTTACATGAACTATTATTAACACTTCTGGAATAATTCCCGCCCCCCCCCCACCGCTGTTCTCATCAGCCTATAGATCGCACCTTAAAACTCTCACCATCCTAGGAAATCATTTTCTGATCACCCTATTTGAAATAGGCATCCTCTTTTATTTTGTCTCAACCTTTTATGTGTGGGTTTTTTGGTTTTTGGTTTTTTTGTTTTTTGGTAATTATCACAGTTTGTAAACCGTGTACTTGCCCATTAATTTTTTTGAGGTCTTTTGCTTCCACTAGGGAAAAGCCTTGCTCACCTTGCTATGCAGTTGCAAAACAGTGCCTGGCATGTAAGAGCCTTTGATAACTTTCTGTTGGACTAAATTCTGAATGAAGTACTATAATGATATCTCACA